GCATTCGGTAGCCGTTTTCACCATGAAGACAAGTCCAGAGGTCAAATTTTTTTTTTTCAAATTAAAGTACATTACATTAGCTTTAATTTAAGATATATATAAAAGTGTCAGACCTTCCGGAACATTTTCAAAAGTTAAGTTGAAAAAGTTGTCATTTTAAATTCCATCTTGTGGGCAGAAAAAATGTCAGATTTACAAAAAAAATATACCAAATGATAGGTAAAGACATCAAGCATTTATAAAAAAAAAATTTATATTCATATGTTCATTTTTGAAAAAGTTACGGCAGTTTTTAGTAAAAAAAATTGAAAAAATTTCAAAAATTAGCAAATTTTAAATTTGTAATTTTTTTGGAGGTTTCCCCCATTTACGGGGAACGGGGGAATTTTTTTCAATTTTTTAGGATAATGTCTTTGACTAGATACGATTTGTGATCTTTTGACGTATCGGTGAAAGAAATCCGTTCGGTGAGAGCTGAGAAAAAGTGGTAACAGACACAAAAAAAAAAAAAAAAAACACATCATAGTAAAACCAATAGCTTCTCAGCTTCGCATTGAAGCTAAAATAAAAAATTGAAAATATTAACCACTAAAAGAGTATTCAATATGATTGCCGTTTTCGCCACAAAGACGAGTCCTGAAGACAATTTGTTTTTTTTTTCAATTTAAAATACTTTGCATAATGTATTTCAAGAAAAAATTTTAATTTAAACTGTAGCGGACACATTATTCGTTTAACTTGGATACTACCAACATCTCTAAAGATCCAGTCAGGTTATATTTTAAATAATATTAAATATAAAAATATTAAATAAGGAAATGAGTTTCTATTGTTTTCGTTGCTTATAACAATTTACCTGTTTCCTTACTTACTGAACACCGTTTACAGGGCCAGCGTTGCCCCATTTAGATACAGTTTAGCCAATTTTTAGAACACTAGCAGAAAGCACGTTGCAAATCTGTTACAAAATTCTTTGATATCAAAAGTTCTACTAATATTTTTACCTAAAGAGCCTATTGTTTCATTATTTATTTCAGCTTTAGCTATTCCTTTGAATATAAAAAAGGATGGTTATTCTATTACTTGCAAAGACAACGTTATACATTCATACATATTAATACGAATGTGTATAGTGTTCAGTAAGTGAGAAAACAAGTCAATTACAAACAATGAGAACAATAGAAACCCATTTCCTTACTTACTGAACACTATATATTATTAAAATAATATAATAGCGTAACCATAATTTTTAATAGATTATATACATCTTTTCACATTTATTCAGTGCTCTTTACTGTAAAACTATATTAAATATATTTACAAAATAATTTTTATAGTTCTAATATTTCTAACGTTTAATACTGAGCTATTGTTTAAAAAAATTAATTGTAAATATTTTATCTTTAAAATATTTTAACTTCGAATTTTTTACGAGCAACATTTTAATCAATGTTCTTATTAATATCGTTATCAAAATTTCATGGTATACATAGTTTTGTTATTTAAAAATAAAAGACAAAAAAATAAAAGAAATACGTCATATGCAACTAAATAAAATATTATTTACATTAAATTGAAAATTTATTTTGTATTTTTTCCTTGTAAAAACTGTTCAAATAACTCTTTAAAAACATCCGACTCAATACAGTAAAAAATAAATGGATAATTTTATACATTTATAACAATAAAACATATTTTTAATCTACATTGACGTCAATTAGCAAATATTAAACGTCTGTGTTAGATTGAAATCAATGAAAATTTACTTAATTTTCAATAAATTAAAAAGTATACTAATACCATCCATGAATGTTTTAGGAATAACAATAATCACATTTATCAATAATCATTTCACTATTTATTTAATAATAATATTATTAAAAAATAATAGACGTAATTTAATTTAATATATTTTTAAAACATATAAATTAATTCTTATACTTAATCATCATTATTATTTTAAATATATAAACTGTGATAAGTCCAAATATAATTAAATTATGACTATCAACAGTTAACTATGATTGAACAATAAATAATGCATTTTGTTATTAATTAACAAAACAGTTTTTTGTGATAAATTCATCATTAAAATACTAATTTATTTAAAAACTTAATCAAGAAACTAATTAATACTATTAGCATCGATAATTTTTAAGTAATATTAGTGCTATGCATATAATAAATATAAAAAAATAATAATAAACTTAAAAAAAAAATAATTCTTTAAGGCAAATAAATTAATCTTTAATAAA